GGATACCGATAGAAGTGGTCATATTCTCAGAAACTGAAATTATTCTTTTCTGAAAATCGCATTTCCATTCTATCTCGCAAATTTTTTTTGAAAACCGAATCTTGCAAAGCCTACCAATATTGCGTTAGGCATATTCGGAGGTTGCTATATTATCAGAAACTGGATTTCGTTCTTTTCTGAAAATCGCATCTTTACTCCATTTCGCAAAATTTTTTGAAGATCGCAGTTTGTAAAAGTCAAAACTTTGCGGCACCTAGCCTAGATCTTGTTCATAATACTCTTCTGACATATCCTACTCATCATAAATCGCCAGATATATACAAAAAAAAAAAAAAGGAAGTTGTCCTCTTTTTATTTTTATTTTTTTATTTTATCTGTTGATTAGGGCCGGAGGAAAGTATTGTTGGGTTGGTTACCTCCCTCTGTTTTTCCTCCCACCCACCCCTTGCATGCATCCCGTTTCGGTACAGTGCCACGTCACAGTGCCAGATCAGCAGTGCCACGTCACAGTGCCAAGTCACAGTGCCACGTCAGCAGTGCCACGTCAGCAGTGCCACGTCAGCAGTGCCACGTCGCAGTGCCAGATCAGCAGTGCCACGTCAGCAGTGCCAGGTCACATTGCCACGTCAGACACAGTGCCATGTCAGCAGTGACGTCCAACATAGTGCCACGTCAGCAGTGCCACGGCAGCAGTACCAGGTCAGACACTGCCACGTCAGCAGTGCCACATCAGCAGTGCCACGTCAGCAACATGACGGGCCTGCCAGGCCAACTGGACAATGAGACCATTGCCGCCTACAAGCAGCGTTGCCTGGCTCAGATAGAGGCTGAGGAACAACGCCTGCTGGCAGTCGAGGCTGCCCGTGTACAGGCTGAAGTGGCAGCAGCCGCAGAGAAGCTGCGGCTACAGGCCGATGCAGACGCAGATGCCCAGGCTCGCCACAAGGAAGCCCAGGATCTGCTGCTGCGGCATGAAGCCAACAGCATCGGCAGACTCAAGTACTGGCATTTTAAACCGAATGGCGATGAGGCAATACCGGAAGAGAAGCACAAGGAGTTTCTCTCCAAACTCGTGACGCGGTTGTTGTATGCTTGCAACTACCAACGGTCAGAGTTGGAGAGACAGTACCAGGACCTGACGCAACAGCATCAGGAGTTGGCGACGCTCCGCCGCACAGTGCAGAGCCACGAGGATGCAACTCGGGCACTCAATGCCCGATTGTTGGACCTGGAACAGGCTGTACCAGGACCAGTTGCTGGAGCTTCCAGCGGTGCACCCTCAAGCCGCCAACTGGAGGACCGCTTTGACCACGTAGTGGCAATGCTCGGCGACATCAGCACCTTCTTTGCGCCGACTACCACCATCAGCAGTCAGCTGCATACATTCAAGACCGAGGTTTAGAAGCTGCAGTCGACGAACGCGGACGACAATCCGAAGATGTACAAGATGCCAACTTTCAACCTGGAGAGGTTCAACGACTACACGCAGCAGGATCCCGTCCTCTGGTGGGAAGCATTCACAATGCAACTCAGCATTCTGCCAGTAGCCAAGCATGCGTACATCGGCGCCGTGTTCCTGAATTCAAAGGGCGGATGCCAGACCTGGTTGAGCCACCTGGCAACCTCCCACGGCTTCGACGTACCAGACTTGAAGGACGTAATCACATGGGAGGAACTGACACGGTTGTGGAAGAAGCGGTTCATCGTCGACGACGCGCCGACACTCGCCATCAACCGTTTGTTCACCATGTTCCAGGGCAACACAGCAACACAGGACTGACTCACAGAGTGGCAGAAGATTGGGGCTGTGCCCAATCTGAACCTACCATTCGAGCATCTACGCCGTGAGTTCTACAACAGGTCCTGTGCGGCATTGAGCCAGGCGCTTGGTGATCGCGAGCAGTACTCAACCTTCGCGGAGATCATTGACAAAGCAAGGGAGATCATCAAGACCAACAGGTCAGCTGCACACGAGAAATCAACATCATGGCAGCCGACCTATGTGGAGAAGGTACGAACTGGTC